AAAAAAAAAAAAAAAAGGAAGATTCAAGAGAGTGACGCAAAGGCAAAAGCACCCGCAAGCAGATGAAGGGGCCAGGGGTTCAATCCCCAGGCCTGCCATGCTGCCCACCCCCCTAGGGCGTGCTGAGACGGCAATTGAGACGGTATGATGGCACGTGCCTGAGGACCCAGGTATGGTGGCACGCATTCCCAGCTATACAGGAAGCTAAGCAGGACCCCTTGGCTCCAGGGCCCAGACTAGCCTGGTTAAGCTGGCAAGGTCCGGTCTCAAAACCAGAACAAAACAATTTAACCATGAACCATCCACACAATGCAATCTGCAGTCAGCAAAAGTGAAACACACTTACACGTACCAAAGAAGCAGGCTGAAGAGCCGTGGGGCGCACGATGTAATTTGCGTAAAATAACAGATGTACACGTGCTTTATTTAACACACAATGAAAAGCTGGTATGGGAAGAAACATTGTAAATTCCGAATTTTCTTATTCAGCTTTGATGAAAAAAATTTACACCACTCATTCATTTAGTAATAATACATGGAGAGCATGTGGCAGGAAGTGCTCTTAGAACAGGGCACACTACGGGAAAAAGGGAACAGGAACAACAAGAAGGTCCCCAAACACCTCTTGCAAGTGGGTGAGATCCAAGCACCAAGGATTTGGCGTAGGTTTCAAGACGATGTGTATGTCCATACAACGGGAGATTCAGCAATAACAAAAACCACTCAGGAATGCTGCACGATGCGCTTTGAAAACTATGCATTAATGGAAACCAGACGCAAAACACCATCTCTGCGTCGACGACTCACGCGGCACGTTTGGCAAAGGCGAATCTACAGAGACAGAAAGACGGATCGATGTGAAAACAGAAATTAGAACTGCAATTAGACCTCGTGAGAGATATTTTTGGCCTGATGGAAATGTATTAAGAGTGGAATGTGGTGACGTCGCATGGCTATAGAGTGGGTAAAAATCAAATTGTGCACTAAAAATTGGTGAATCTGATCGTTTGTAAATGATACCTCAACAAAGCGGTTTACAAAAAATCAGCTTGCTTTTCCTTATCCACATTACATTCTAGCTAAACAATAAACAGAGTAAGAAAGATGTAGAGCAAGGTAGTGATAAGTGGTAGGGAAGATAAATCAAGCAGATGTGCAAGGAGTGTTCAGGTTTCACTCCAGGTAACTATGGTTGTGCTCCAGGTGGCCCAAGTGGGGGCGACACCACTCCTCCTCCAGCCGCGAAATCCGGACAGCAACCCTGGGCTAATCCTGCTTCTGTTACGCAGCTTGCTACAACCACTAAGGAAATCGGTGTGGAGATTCCTCTGAAAGCTAGGACTGGGGATCCCACTCAGGCCAGCTCCTCCCCTCCGGGGTATTTTTCTGAACTGAAAACATACTACAGCGATGTATGCCTGCCCATGTTCATAGCAGCACAATGTGTCATAGCTAAATCTTGAAAACCACCCAAATGCCACCTGAAGAATGGATTAAAAAAGATGTGATATTTTTATACAATGCAGTACTATTCAGCTATAAAAAAGAAAATTTGAGGTTTCTATAGGCAAATGGATGCAACTGGAGACTGTACTGCTATATGAAATAAATCAGACCTGCATGTGCAAACACCACATTGTCTCACTAGTGTGAGAACTTGAAAAAAAAAATCTGAAAGGTATAATAGATACTGTGAAAAGGAAATAATTTGTTCAATGGAAAGGAAAAATTGGGATGAGGAAAAGGACAAAAGAAGGTAAAAGATTTTTATGGTTTATGTCTAGGTGTCCCCCCAAAGCCTCATGCAGTCATGGGGCAGGGATTTCTAGAGTTGGATTAATTCATGACCCAAGGCTGGGATTATGGGTCTGGGTACTGCTGGGATTATGGCTGTGAGCACTACATCCAGCCTTGGAGCAGACAGTCTGAATGGAATGTAAGAGACAGACAGACAGACCTCCTCTCTGTTGCCGGTTGCCACTGCTCCTCCATTGTGCTCTCTGCTTTCTGCCGCCGCCATGAAAGGCTGCCCTCTGCCGTGTGCCGCTCTGCCTTGGAGCCAGCCGAATATGGACTGAAACCTCCGGCAACTGTGAGCTAAATGAACCTTTCCTTCCTTCATTTTGGGTGTCGGGTATTTGTCCCAGCAAGGAGAGAAGAGGAACTGAGACAAAGATGTATTTATGTGTATATGCAAGATAGTTTGGGTAATTGCACTGCTATTTCTGCTAGTCTATTAAAAGGAGCAGTTAATGCTTAAAATTTTTTACTTTTTACTTTCTTACAACTTTTCCCCCCAGTTTTGTAGGTTTATATCAGGTATCATAAACAACTGATTTGAAGATTACATTACGCAATCCAACAATTGTTGAATTTCTACTATTTTGTTTAATGAAGTTTTGCATTGTTTCTACTTTTTTTTTTTCTTTTTTCTTTTTACCATTTTGTATTCTTCAGAAAACAAAACCATGAGCAGGAGAGATGCTCAGTGGTCTGAGCGCCTGCCTGGCAAGCACAGACCTGGGTTTGATCCTCAGTGCCTGTTACGGCTTCTGGGTATTTGTCCTCCCAGAGCCTATGCGGTCACTGAGGCACAGTTCTACCGTTCGTGATTAATTCTTGATCCAAACTCGGATTACAGGTCGAACTGCTGGGTGTGAGCACTACACCCAGCCTGGGGTGGACAGCCTGAAGGGGACACAAGGCAGACAGAGCGACAGACCTGCTCTCCGCAGCCTGGTGGCCACTGCTCCTGCGTTTTGTTTTCTGCTCTTTGCCACCTTTGTGAAAGGTTGCTCTCTGCCACATGCCGCTCTGCCTTGTAGCCAGCTGAGTGTGGACTGAAACCTCCACTGACTGGGAGCTAAATAAACCTTTCCTTCCTTCATTTTGAGTGCCAGGTATTTGTTCTAGCAATGAGAGAAGAGTAACTGAGACAGTACCTCATGCTGTGCCTGCCCTGGAACCCTGGGCACATGGTGCCAGCCTCCAAAACTAGTCGTGGTGGTGCAGGCATGTAATCCCAGCCCTGGGGAGGCTCAGACAGTAGGGTCACTGCAAGTCCAAGCTGCAGAGCGAGACTGTATCAGTTAGGGTCTTAGAGGAACACGTATAGCGCACGATGTACAAATGTATAAGAAATTACAAGATTGGCTTATGACAGTCAGCCGCAGTCAGATGAGGAAGCGTGCCAAGGATGTCTGCACACTGCAGACCAAAGGATTCAGTCCAAGGTCTGGAGCTCACGGCAGTGTTTTGCATAAGTCTGCATTAGGAGGCTGAAGGGTCTGCAATGGAAGGCTGATGAGTCTACATCAGAAGGCTGAAGGATCTAGGTGGAGGCTGAGGAGTCTGCACTAGAAGCCAGGAGAAGACATTGAAGCAGACTGTGAAGAAAATGGAACGCTTTATCTTCTCTTAATTTTCTTTTATATCCCTTAAATGATGAGTCACTCTAGGGTGGGGCTTCACAGCCCAGGGTGTGAAACTGCTCAGCCAATATAGTTAAGCTTTTAACTTCTCAAGCTGACAAAATCTATCAACCACTACAGAGA